CAAATTTTCAACCCCAAAAAATGGTGGCCAAATAGGGGCCTAAGTACTCCGAACAAGTTCTAAACAAATTAATGAAAATTTAATTTTTCCAATTATGAACCTAACTAGTACTTGATAGCAAAATAATATGTCCAAAAGAATCATTTTTTTATTTTTATAATAAAGAATAAAGCAAAAGGAAACTTCTAATATACAATGAAAATATGTGCACATATGAATATATAAAAATAATGAATAATGCGTATACATGCACCAAAGCACCTACTCATTGAGGTACACAAGTGCTTTTATCATGAATAGAAATGCGAGCAAAATTGCAATTAACAACATGACTTTGACCTGCGACGTCATTCATTTTGATCTAAATCTTCTCAGACAAAGATGTAATCTTAATCAACTGAGTCATCAAATCAATCAAGTGACTCACTTGATTAGTCAATAAACTACATGAGTAGTTAGATCTTGACTGTTATTTCTAACCAAGGACTTACGATACTTAGTCTAATGTGACCTAAAACACTATAATTATGACATGTGGGAATACATTTAGGAACAATCCTAGATTTCAAACTTTGAACCCTAAGTGGAGAAAACTTATGTTGTACTAATGATTTTAGTCCTCGGATACCTATATTTTTTATCGTGTTCCTATTCAAGAGCTCGCGACACTAAGTCTTATGTGTCCTATCTTACCACAATGGTGACACGTCGGGATGAACCTGGAAGCAACTTTAGTTTTTAGGTTTTGAGCCTTAGGTTTTAAGGCAGGTACAAACTTATTGTTAGAAGATGAAGTAGTATGCAAATTTATGTCATTATAGTCTAAATCTCCTTTATTTCCAATCATGAAGAGTAGATGCGCTAGAAAAAGATTGGAGTTCGGTATTTGGTTTTTCCAGATCACTCATAAGAGATTTAACTTTAACATCTAAGGACTTTTTCTCAACTCTTAACTTATTTAAACTTTTAGTGCATTCCTCAAATTTGGCTACAAGACTCCCATTTTCTAATCCAAAATTATTCAATTTTTTAAAGGTAGGGCGATTCACTTTTTTCGACATAAGGCACTTCTCAAAAAATTCGTCATAGATATCCCTGCCATCCTCAGATTTTATATCAGAATATGATTGACTCATCTAAACAAAATTTTGGTTCAAGAGTCGTTATTAGGCTTTGATACCACTTGAAAGTTTAAATTGTTTAAATCAACGTGTGAAATTACATAATTAAAAGCAATAAATCACTTTTTAATTGTTTCTAGATGATTAGATCAAACAAGTCAATTTATCTTAAGTTTGAACACCACAATCAATAATTAAAGCAGTAAAGAACACAAAAGATGATCACGGAGAATCCTAACTGAGTAAAAATTTCAGGTACTTTGCCAGTTAGTAATCCATTATAAATCGAAGTAAACTTACAGTAGGTCTGGACCCGTTTACCCCATAAAATTTCTTACTTCAATTCCTACACTTTCATTTGATCTTAGGGAATGTTTGCTCCTTTAAAACAAATCCCGACTCCTAGTTTATACCTTAGCTCTCCTGAACCGTGTGATCCTGACGACAGATTCCAACTCTTAATACCTTACCTTAGTCCTCTTAAATTTTAGCTTCTACAATTATTAGGACCAGCTAGTTAGTTCTATTTTTCCCTCTCTTTTTGTATTAGTTGTTTGCCAGCTGGATTGTTAGTTAGCCAGCTGGACTTTCCCGCCATTTTTGTTTCCTGTATATTTATTGTATTGACATTTTCCCTTTCCTTAGTTGAGATGAATAATATGCTCAATTCAAATCTTCATCCTCTCAATTGTAATATGCTCAATTCAAAATCTTCATCTTCATCTTCTTTGTTGAAATAATTGAATAATTCTAATTGAAGTGCACATTAAGAAGAATTTAATTTGAAATGTTATTCAAATCCTATATCAAATTGAAGTTCTATTTTGAAAGTTCATTGAGAGTTAAAATTTGTTTTAGACTCAATTTTTTAGTATCCTATTTCATCAACAACTCTACTAAAAGGGTTTGGATGTCCCCTATAAATATTAGACTCTTCTATACAATTTTATGGTATGAAAAAATAGATTACTAGAATTATAGGATCTATTGTAATTTTTGTCTCTTCTCCATTATTTTTCAGTCAATAAAATCTCTTAATTCCTCGGTCATATTTCTTGTCTTTATTATACTTTTATTTGATCAAATATTTCATTATTGTGCCGTATAATTTCAACATCTCAAATCGGCGATTGGTTTCACAACAAGTGGTATCATAGTAATTCTGGTATCTTTTTTGTTTTACAACAGTTTGAAAAAGAATTAAGTGAATAAACACAAGTCCTAATAAAGCAACGCGAAATAGGGAATACAAGAAAAAACCTTAAGAGCTCAATTTTGAATTCACCAAAGTAAAGAAAAAATAAACTCACGAAATTTTATTAATGTGAGATAATAAAAAACGATGAATTAACACTTGCATATAATTCGAAACAAACTACATGAAAAAAATAGAACTAAAACCTTAAAAACAGATTTTGAGTCCAAAACGAATTCAGATGGCCAAAATCCTTCGTACATCACAGCATAGCGATGAGTTCTACTCGTCTTGTCATTCTCTTTTCAAAATGGTATCATGAGTTCAAACTATAATTCGATTGTCAGATTCACACTATTGTCTTTTTTTCCTTTTCGGTCCAATTATCCTTCAATTCATTGAGCCACCTGTTTTACATCACCCAAGTTTCTACTCATGACCTTGCCTAGTTGCATCCTCCAAACCCGGACCCCAACTTTTTACGTCGTTCCCCAATCCCGTGTTAATCTTCCACTCGGCTGGGATGGCAATTCAAGGTGGGAGGATTTTTTTTTTTTTTTTTTAAATATTTTTCTAAGAATAAGTATACAATTATCTATTTGACTGACATAAAGAGCTTTGAAACATGTCTTAGCAAAATCAAGGACCTCAACAAGAAAGATGATAGGATGTCATCTATCATCATCCGAACACGAACGTGAAGTGAAGCCCATGAACTTTTGCAACAATGAGACGCGACATTTCACGCGTTCTTCACCATGTTTTGTAAAGGAATGTATCTCACCAGCTCGCGTCTTTGTTATTATTGCCAGCCCTATGGTCTTTGGACAAAATCTCCTGCCAACAGAGGCATTGCCAATAGAACTAACTCTTAAATTTTGAATAGTAAGTACAAAGCATTCAAGTAGTTAGCAGACGAAGGCGATCACAATGATGTTCAAATCTGGGTTTGGATATACTTGAGGCAGTAAGCTTTTGATAAGGAAACTACTTTATTTAATCCCTAAAAATCAGCACACAAATCCTTAAGATCAAGGAAAATCTTATGGAATCAATTTCTGCAAGAAAATTAATCACACAAGAAAACAAAATGGAAAGAAACTTTGTCATAACTCGATGAGTCACGTGCTTATAAAATGCACATCTAAAGTTAAAGAGACACGTTCTGAAAATCGTAGTCAAATTCTCTAATTATTTGTCTCTCCCACATCCAATCCTCATAAACTTATATCGATAGTTGATTTGGACCATTTGAGTACCAAGGGTCGCCAACCCTTTTTCTTGCTAAGGTGATCTTTGTTTCTGGTAGTTTCAATTTGATTGTACAAGTAACATAAAGGTAGGCAAAGGCATGACACGACGGTTTGCTGGTTTGTTTATAAACAGTGGTCACTCAAATATAACACCAATACTCTCAAAATAAATAATTTTTTCATAACTTTCATAAACTTAGAGCTTGTTTGGGAGGAATTAAAATTGAAAATATAGCTGTTATTGAGTCCCACTAGTTTAATAAAATTCAACAATAACGGCTAGTTTTTCAACTTTAGAGGGTGTTTGAAACCCATTTTTTGGAGAATGAAATTTTTGGAATAGTGATTGATGGGAGATTATGTGGTGGAAAAGTTATGAAAAGTTTTAGATTTGTGTGTAATATTATTTTATTGGAAGAATATGTGGTTGAAATGAAGAGAGAGAAAAAAATGANTTTTTGGAATAGTGATTGATGGGAGATTAGGTGGTGGAAAAGTTATGAAAAGTTTTAGATTTGTGTGTAATGTTATTTTATTGGAAGAATATGTGGTTGAAATGAAGAGAGAGAAAAAAATGAAAACGAGAATTAGATAAAAATGGGTGTCAAACAGGGCCTTAATTCGATTTTAATCTCTACCAAACACACTCTTAATCTATTAAGATTACAAATTTACATTTTCACCTACTACTAGGCAATGATTTAAATTGTAGGTGTGTGAAATGTTTGTACGGGGTACCCACTGCGAAAAAAAGTTGGTAAGGTTGAATTTGTGGGACCATCTTACACCTAAATTTGCGAATGAGTGTGGTATGAGCATGAATTGTGAGTTAGGTGGCCAATGCTTATCAACTAGACAATTATTGTACTTCTTTCTTTGAATTTGTTCTTCATCTTATTAGATAATTCTTCTTGTACATTAGGGGTGCCATGTACAGTATTATGGCACCCCTAATGTACAAGAAGCTCCAATGGTGGGGTGCCATGTGTCCATTATGGACACCATTAGGGGTGTCCAACTCCAACACACTCTCCAATGGTGGGGTGCCATGTGTCCATTATGGACACCATTATGGCACCCCTAATGTACTTGTAGCACTTCCATTTTTCTAAAGCCCGAATTCAATTGAGATTTTTAATGACTTTTTGAAATTTAAAAAGTTTATGAGTATTCAAAATGGACTTTTGGAGATTCTCTAAAAGTATTGATGTATTTAATTGAGACTTTTAAAAAGTATCTAAAAGTTACGGTGTATTCAATTAAAACTTTTTCTAGTCTTTATAAATTTTGGAGTATTCAAATTTAAATGACTTTTAGAGATGATACTAGCTTTTAAGCACAAAGTATTAAAATAAAATCTCAAAATTTATCGTTCATTCATCTCAAGATTTTGGAAGACTTTCACAAAAAAT